AGAGACTTCAGCGACTCTGCCGGCGTGCTCTCGGTTAGCGAACAGGTGACGGCGGGGGCGTGCGTGTGCTTCTGTGTGTGTGTGTATGTGTTTTTCTTTTTTTATTATTTACATCGACCGCGCTAACCGGCTGACCAATGAAAACACGTCAGTCTCAGTGCGGTTGAAAACACAAAACACTACCTTCTAAATGCCATTGACTGGGACCCCATGAGGGAGGCTAAGCTGTTGTGTGTGTGTGTGTGTGTTTTGTTTTTGCATTTCGACCGCCGCGCTACAAGCCCGCTAGCCAACGAAAATACGACAGCCGTTTTTTTATTGCGCCAAGTGTGTACTTGGTTGTTCCCGTGGTGTGTGTGCCGCCTGGTGTTGGCATCGACCGCGCTGCATGAACCGGATGGCCAATGACAAGTTCCTCGCGTGTGGGGGGTTCTTCTATCGCGCAAACGTGATCGCGCAAACGTGATATCCGCTCTTTGCTGCTATTCTCTAATACTTGCTGCTTGGGAATGTGTTACTTTTCTACGTGATACTTGACCGTTTGCTGTTTGCTGTCTCTCACAGTGACCGCTTGCTTGCCGCGGTACGACCCCCCCCCTCCCCCCCCAAAAAAAATTGCCCCCAATCCTAACATCTTCAACCCACCCCCTCCCCCTCAGTAACTGACCGGAATACCTCTTCCTCCTCCCCCGCCCCCGGACTGCTGTTGCCTGTTCCCCTGTACCGCCGGCGATGGGGTGATGGATGAACGACAACTTGGGGCAGGTGGACCGGCTGATTCAGCTCGCGTCGAACAACGAAAACCTGTGTCAGCTCTTCGTCGGGTGGTGCCCGTTCTGGTAAATTTTTGGACACCACGGAACCCCCACACTGCACATCACGGAGCCCCCCACACACACACCCACTGTGCCCCCTCCAACACTTGACCCTCAGAGGACGCCAACGTTAGTTCCGTCTGGAGCGGGGCTCCGTGATGTGCACGTGATGTGCCCGCATGTTTCTTCGACAAGAGTTTCGAACTATTTTGTAATCAGGGTGGGGTGGGATGTGGTGGGATGCAGGCTCTCGTGTTTGCATATCTTCTCTGGTTCACGCGCAAAATAGAAATTAAAATAGATCGCCACCCGTGCGATGTGGCGATATGCCCCTTGACTTGTTGGCCACAACAAAAGCTCAAACCCCCGCCCACCACCACGATTGGGTTAGACTGGAGGGGGCTTGCTTAAGTTGTGGTGGGATGTTTTTTATCTTGGTTGTTGCGCCGGGTGGAGAGGAACCAAAGAAGAACGTCCATTTTTTTTTTTTCTGATTTTTTTTTTACTACTACTTGTAGCGTTGTGGGAATTGAGAGTGTAGCTGAGACTCCTCCCTCCCTGTTTGCGTGGTGGGAGGTGGTGATTGTTGAAGGATGGAAACCGCGTGGACCGGTTGATCGCAAGGACGGAAAGAGTAGTAAGCTATCCCCAAGATATGGCGGGTGTAAGCGTGGGCGTTGTGTGTATGTGTATCACGTAGGAGAGTAGTCACACCTGTTCTTTTTGTGTATTATCCCCCGTCAGTCCGATTCTCTATTTATTTAATTTTCTCCGCTTTAGTTTTTGTTCGTTAGTGGAAAAAAGAAGAGTGTAGCGCGCGTAAAGTCGGGTGTCGTCGTGATTGTTGATGCTGCTGTCGTTGTCGTCGTCGTTACCATTTTGTCATTTGTCTTGTCATTAGTCATGTTGCCGTTGTTTTTGCTACACTAGTATACTATATGTAGTCTACCGTTCCCTCCAAAGGCTTCTGTCAGGGGTCTGCTTGTTTGTGATGTTTCCCCAATTTTTTTAAGTTCGATGTTTTGAGAGGAGATTATCTAACTAAAACCTGTTCGAGTGGCCCCCTCCCCCGGCAACATGCATGCGTGCGTTGCTCTGAGCTCCATAATCATATTTTTTCTTTATTTTCACGGCGGACGGAGGTTGAGTGGCCCAATTTTGTACAACGGCGGAAGTACGACAAGTGCATACGGCGCTCTCACCCCCCCCCCCCCACCCCCCTTGGTTTTCTGGGGTGTGCATGATGTCGGCAAAAGCAAACAGCAACACCGCCAGCAGCACTCCTTGTTTTTAGAGGGCGCTTGTTTTCCCTCGTTCATGGATTTTCTTTTGACGTCAGCCCGCCGTTGGCGAGACTGAGGGCGTGCGCGCGCCGTGTGTGTGATAGTACTGTAGTGTGGGCCTCCTGTCGGAAACGTAAGAAGACACATCGTAGACGCCAAAACGTTTGCGGTAAAACCTTCCAACTAAAATCTGGTAAAGAATCTTCTTGACATAAATATTGTCGGTATGCATGTCAAGGACGAAAACATCCCGAGGGGCAACCCGTCGATTCCCTCATTGCAAATATTGGGGTTTCTGGCGCGCGGCTAGAAAAGCCACTATAATACTTTTTTTGTGACGATGCATGCGATATGATGCGGCAGAAATTTTGTTGCGACCGCGAGACAAACATGCATGCATCATCGGGTCCACCTTGGAAGGTTGAACGCACGCACACAAGACTTACTTGACCTTCACAAGACGATGTAATAGTACACGCATGCATGTGTGTGGGTCATTTTCGTGAGAAAGCGAGATTGCACGGTCCCCCTGGTGCATGCGAACAGTTCGCTTGAAAACGAAGAAAGGAAGGGTGGGGCGAGAGAGCAACAACACACGACCCTACTTCATCTCCTCCTGTAGGTGGTTGATAACGGTTTGTAGATGGATGTGGCACATCGTAGTCAGTCATACGCGGCGGCGGCGAGACCCGCGGGACAATGGACCAGAGACCACGAGACCACGCAATATGTGCAGTACCACGACCGAATGTTCTGCGCACAGCGGTACGGCCGTCGAAATTTAATTATCAAAGTGTAATTACTGGGATCGTCGGGCAAAACGTGCCCAGTAGGTGGTCCCCAGGTCTTGGAACAGCTGTGCGCCGTACCAATAAACGTCCGGCCTGGTTGGAAGACACACACACACCGACGTTCTCTCTCCTCCCCACTCAAAAATAAAGTTGTGAAATTTAAATCCCAACCAAGGAGCAGGAATAGCTAGAGAGAGGGACAAATAGTAACTCATTGCCGTGAAGGTTTCGCAACGAATGATAGCACAACCGCCATTTCGCTTCCCTTGTACTACCGTTCCGCCGTACCGGGAAACAAACACAACGTCGATCAAACCATCACCATCTGTCTGTCTCTCAGTGAGTCACCCACCCGGCCAAAAAGGTTGCGAATTTTTCAGCCCCTTGGTCAGCTGGCAGGTCGGCCACCTCGTCTTTTCGAGCATGATGTCTCATAGACTTCACTCGGAAGGAAGCGAAAATCATATGATATCCATTCATTGTCGGCGCCTGCCTGCTTGCCTGCCCAAAAAAAAAGATCAAAGGCTGTTGAATGAAAACGAACCAACAAACAGATACGGCACACGACGAAGATGAACGACGTAACATGCATGTGTCACCGGTAAAGATAAGATAAGGAAGGGATGAGAGAGACCACAAAATATACCACCGCGCCAACAACACGCTTGCTTCTTGTGCCCTGTCCTGCCCGGTCCAGAACAAAAAAAAAAAAACGCCCTCTGGCCGTGCTGGGCCCCGCCCCCTACCTTCACCATTTGCCGTTCCTCCCTCCAGAAATTCCAGTCAAGCTTCGTATGACAACAAACCAGCAGACGGCAAACCCGGCTGGAGCCGTTCGCGACACAACAGCGAAGGCCAGACGATACACAACCTATGCATACCCACAGAAGAACCGTACCACTTTCAACTTCACTTTCCAACCCGGCCGCTTGTTCCAACGGGAACGAACACAGAAAACAACCACCGAACGAAGTCGCTTCTCTTTTCTCTTCTTGCCCCGTCTTGGCATTATCTCCCGTTCCTCTTGTTTTTCTTGCCCCCCCCCTGCTGTGTACAAAAAACCAGGCGTCGAGAGTCGACGATGCACTGCTGCATGGTCCCTCGGCAATGAAAAACCCTCGAGGAATAACAACAAAAAACCCCCGAAAAATATCCAAGGCAGACCACCGGGGGAGTAAGCAAGATGTCTAGGCATATATGTAAAAAAATATGTACGTGGCCCCCGCTACAGGTCTGCACAACACTCCCCCCCCCCCCAAGCTCTCTCGGAAACAAACAGCACAAGAATGCCCTCCCCTCCCTCCTGCTATCCAATAACTCCCCCGTTGACTCGATCGCAGAAACGGGCGCGCGGCCAGACACACACAAGACACACGCGCATACACATACCTTATACTCCCGACCCCAACCCCCCCTTCACTGTTTACACACGCGCGCCCCTTTCTTTACCCTGTAACAACCGCACGGGTGTGCAGGCTTCCCGGGAAGCAACCGGTAGAGGGTGCTTGTTCACTAGCATGAGCGTAGCCCTCCAACACTCGGGCGCGATCTGCACCTCTCCGCAAAAAGTCATTTCCGCAACGTCGCAACAAATCTGCGCGCGACTTGCGCCGTAGACCCCAAAAAATAAAGCAGAAACCGCCATGTCGTACCTTCCGCTCCGCAATTTCCAGGAGGATAAATGTTTCAAGTGCCCAGGCGGCCCGGTTCAGACAGGCGGTTGGTGCAAAGGAAGGCGCAAGGTTTATCCTCCTACTTCAATGTTGTACAGGACGGTGACGGTCATGTGTCTTCGTCTCTAGCCACTTGCAACCCCACCTTATGAACCGCAAAAGCGTCAACGGGGCGGAGGGAGGGGGGTATAGACAGCACCCCCCCATGCGAACCGTATCCCAATCACGGACCTCCCTTTCCACTCCCTGCGGCACACCACGCCACCAAACCCCCAACACCGGCCCCTCCGCCACTATTGCACATCACCTCGTCGACTTCCCCAACCGTCAATCCATTCAGACTCGTGACATCGCCCCGGTTCAGCAGGCCGGGGGGAGGAGGGAGGGAAGCACGACTAATACACCCTTCCGTTACGGTCCGCCCAACCCAGCCGTGTGCCAGATGGGAATCCGCGTTACCACCCCACCCCCGCCACCTCAGCCAGGCCATATAAATGCCCGCCGCCGCCGCCGCTGCACATATCGCCCCGGCCGGACCGGGTACCAATGCAGCCAAGGTTGCGAGTGGGTGAGAGGGAAGGCAACGGCAGAAGGAGACCAGAAGCCCCCCCCCCCCCCA